CTCCCTATAAGAAATCCAAGAAATAACTTCCTATACACCCCCTCCACTTCTTTCTACAGAGGGTAATTTTTACTTATTACAATTAGTGTCAGGACTCCCTCAGTATTTTGTGGAACTGAGGTTTGATCTCTTTGGTCTCAGGAATGACTTGTGAGTGGTTTAAGGAGTTTCATAGTATAACAGGAAACTACTTTGGCAAATACAGTCAAAAGGAGTTTCTAAATTTGGAAGAAGGTGTGGTGCTCTGAATCTGATATGCAGAGATGCTGGCTAACCCCAGCTGTCATTAGTTTTCATGGATGTAAATTCAACACTTTGAAATGAGGGAACTGGCAATGCAAAAGTAACCAAAATCTTGGAGAGTTTGGAAAGTATTCATCTTATTTTAAATTTTACTTTGACTTTACTGTTACAGTTATGGCTACTTCATTAATTAATTTTCACAATAACATTTGATGAAGAAAAGATAGATCTGTGAGCTTGGCTTTTTTTTTTTTTTTTTTGTATTTTTACATGTTTTCCTTATTTAGTTCAACTTATATTTTAAAATAATTTAATTTAGCAGAAAGTATTTTAATTCTTAATGAACTGTAATTTAAAGCTGTGGATATTGTCATTATATTTAATTATAATGAGCATAGTTTTTAAAAATCCTAGTTAGTCAGGTTTGAGTTTATAAAAAACACATCAGTTTATGGTACATTTAAAGTCTTATATTCTACTGTGTTAAGTCCTGTTTATTTTTACTAGTAGAGCTTGGCTAGGAAAATGAATTCAAACCAAAGTTCAGATATGGCATTTTTCTGTATCTAGTAGAAACACAGATCCTATAACACTTCCTATTCAGGAGTGAATGCTTTAGGCACACTTGCCTTTTGGATTTGGATTCACAAAGGTTGAAGAAAATACTTCACCAAAATATCATATTACTTCTCTGCATTATAAAAATCAGAAAAGGAAGCTAAGATGGAAAAAGCTGAAGGTTCTTTTTACTGATGGAATACAAAGTAGCTTCATTGCAGGGTATGTGTGGAGTGCTAGAAGAATTTAGGTGTACTGAGTCTAGCAGCCTGCAGTGTCTTGTCTCCATTGTCAGCAGAAGATTAGATTGTGTTCAGAATTTCTAAGCTAGTAATTATGCTTTATTTATTAAATCAGACAGAGACTGACTCATTTGACTTAACAAAATCTAAGGTGTGATCAATCTCATTGTAGTGTAGATCAGCAAAAGTAGGTCATATGAATCATCTTTAAATGCTTGTTTTTCTCCTTGAACTTAAATCCCAAGACAACCCAAATTAACTAGCTCAAATATAAACATCTACTCTCTAGGGGATTAAAATCAGACAAAATCTACCCAAAATAGTTACAGTTTTGTCCCACCTGAATAAAATAGGCTTTAGTATGTTTGGTCTGGTTCAGCCTTGGTCTTTACAGGTCATGCAGCTGAGACCCTGGTCTGTACTGAAAAGCTAATGGCCATCCTTAAAAGCTTAAGATTTTGGGGCATACTTCTGCTAAGTGCACACCTACAGGTGATCAGTGTGTTTGTAGGTGGCCTCACATGGTGGCACAGACCTACCTAGAGCACCTGGCTCAGTAGGAAGAAGCACTGTCCCTCCAGATTTGTTCCTCTTCTGACCACCACTGGCCAGTGGGTCAACTTTCTCAAAGACTTGCAGCCAGCAAAAGCAGAAAGTGTCTGTTAGAGACTATGACCAAGGAAAGAAATACTTGGGATATTGAGGTGTCTCCAAAATAGAACATCCCAAGAGAAGGATGTTTGATCTGGGAAGCTTTGGGTTTACTTTCATGCTGCAGGAAAGTAACTCAGGGAAGGTTCATGTCATACTGAAAGTGCGGCAAAAAGGGGACCCACAAGTTGTCACTTCTGTTTGAGAAATGCTGTGTCTGTTGTCCTGCCAATTATATAGGGAGATCTTTCTGTAGGTCAAGTAGCTCTACATTGTTAATCCCAGAGTGAATGTATCTGAAAAAAGCCAAATACTGAGAACATCGATAAAGTTCAGGTGTACATGTTTTATGAGGAACAGAAAAGGTGTAGGAGTCTCTGAGTGTGCTGAAGAGATTATTTTCTTAGGCTTTGTGTTTTGCTGGTTCATTCATTTGGATTTTGAAAATTCTTTTTATTTCTTCCCTTCAGTTTCAGACCAATTCTTAAAATTTTCTTCCACTGTCTCAAGGGAAAGAGCTGAAACTGCTCCTACAGTTTTCTAGCTTAGTCCTCTCTATAACTTCCTTTTCAGAGTTTAACTCAGGATTTGCCAATAATTGACCATGAGTTCAATTTTTTTCATTGACCCTCTTTTTGTAGTCTCTTTTTGCACTTTCCTAAGCTTGCTATTGTTGCCTTGATAATGATGTATCATAAAAGGAATTGAATTTCTTGGAATTAAGCTGACTCTTGATTTCATCAGTAGTAAATCCCCATCAAGTTAGCTATTTTTAAACTCAATTGGACTAGTAATTGTCTTTAACAAGAGATTAAATGTATACAGTACCTGAGGTAATGAATGTGTTTTTAATTTGCTTCCAAAGTTGGTATGAAGTTACTTCAGGTTGCTGTAATTAACCTGTAGCCATTTCTTCTGTCTTCAGTAGCTTTGTACCAAAAACAAGCATTTGGATCCCTCTGTGGTTCTCCTCCAGCATCTGCTGCTCTTCTGTGTTTCTACTTGGCTCCACAGCTTGGATCCATGTAACCTTCCTGCCATCAAATACTATGCTGTTCCAGTAGAGTATCTTTTAGTTCTCTGGTTCTTCATGTTAATCTTCAGGTTTGTAGGTGCAGGAGAGCAATTACTAAATTATTTATATTGGTAATTTTATATCTTATCTCTCCTACTTTAATCTGGGATATAACTGAAGCAGTGTTTTGAAAGGGGGTGAAGCTAAAAGCAAGGTTCTGTGACCTAATTGGGTTATGCATATTTTGAAGTTGTCTACAAGGAAGCAATAGTTTTCTAAGGGTTATAATTCTTTCAGTGAATGAAAGAGTCATTTCATGACAAATGCTATTATTATCTACTTCAAAGGTAGAGGGAAGAGGTGAAAGTGAAGCCACTGCTTGTGCTAAATATTGAAAGTCACCCTACCAGTGCTCTTTACTTTCAGAGTAAAACTGACAAGTCTGAAATATCTAGTTCAAATGTTTGCCATTGACTAGCAGGCATTTGTTTCTAAAGCTGGTAGAAGCAGTTTTCATTCTTTCTGCCTTCTCAGTGATTGATCTGTTTCTTTCTGGCTTTCTTTCAGAGAACTTAATTGCATGATTTTTTTTAAAAAACAAACACATCAAATGTCACAACATTAGCATAATCATAAAAATGTCAAGCATTCAGTGTATTTGCAATATGCCAGAGCTTACTAGACAAGACATTTTTTCATCTGATTCATGTGAGTCTCTGCCTTTGAATGGGCATCTCTTTAAGACATGACTAGTGGTTGCTATAGATTATTCCCATTAGGGAAAAAAACAGTTTTTCCCTAAAGAAGAATAAAATTGGTCCTTAAAAGCAGTAGATCCTAAAGGAAAAGAGGTGTAAAAGGTCATCTAAGAAAAGGAAATGTTACTGATAGAATCATAGAAGTATTTTGCTGGGAAGGGAAGAATATCTAGTTCCACCCTCCCTGCAATGGGCAGGGACATATTCCACTACACCAGGTTGTTCAAAGCCCCATCCAGCCTGGTCTGATTCTGTGTTGTGTCTTGTGCAGATTCTTGTGTCTGGCTGGCCATATTGACCTCCAGCTGTGAGAACCTGGAAAATGACCACAAATTTTGGTGCCTGTCATAATCTGGACAATGCCATCTGTGTCATGGGTAGTATTTTTTAAAAAATATAAGTAGCTGATCAATGCTGTATATTTAAGATGACCTGATAAGCTAAAAAGCATCTGGTACATGCGAATAAATGTACTTTTTTGATTGCATCTAAACTTGTGCAGAATCTAAACTTAGTTCCACTGCTTGTACTAATTGCAATAGCATTAATTTTGGTCAGTAATTTAATGGAAGGATTTGGGACTGCGAATCTCAGTTGTAGTAAGGATGGGAAATGGGAGTTTCGGATCCCCTTTGTAAAACGACTGTTATACATTCCTGTGCAGAGTCCCTTCATTTTTCTTGGCTATTACAGAGGGAAATAGCCTCAAAATACAATTAAATACATTAAAATTTGAGCATAGGAACCCAATGTATTGTCAGCACAGTAATTTTCTTCCCAACATCCTCTTCTGGATTGTGTCCAGAGCTCTTCACTTGATTTGTGAAAGCTTCCTTCATTAAGGTCTTGACTGCACTTGGTGAGACTGTTATCAAAAGATTCCTTGGCATTGTTTTTTCCATGCATGGAAAGCCACAGACACAGTGTGCAGAGTTCTGGTATGATCCAGGAGAGGAAGGCAGGCTTGTTGTGAGCAGGGGATCGCCTCTTCCTTATAGCCTCTGAATCTCCTAGGGGGTTTTTCTGATGAGTGCCCTGTGGTGTCTCAGGACATTTCTGTCTTACTTTGTTCAGATGGGCAGATTGTACACATTGCATTTGTGAAAATACAGTGGAGTATAAAAAGGTCACATAGCTGCCAAACTGAAACTTTCTCCCTCCAAATATGTTTTACAGAGCAAAGGCCTTGTAAACCCCTCCATTTATACTAAGGTCAGTGTCATTACAGGTAGGTTTTCCTAATGTCTTCTCCCTTTAAGGAATAAAATTATGTTCCTGCTTGGTTCACTCTTCTGCTCTGTGATAAATCTGAAACAATGCCAGCTGGTGCTGGTGTGGTGGCACCAGGTCATGCTCCCTGGATATGGGCTGCAAGAAATGGGTCACTGCCATAGGGCCTTCAGGGGTTTGACACCACTGGGTAAGAACTGCCAATCAACGTCTGGATCCACATCCTCTGCTCTTCTGACCTGTTCTGTCCTGAGAGAGTACTTTTATGCTGCTTTTTCCTTTTTTTTTTCCTTTTCCCTACAGATACCTTTCTGAACCTCACAGCATGTTTGATGTTCATTGACAGAGGCCATGTGAAGCTGCACATCCCTCTCCAGGAGCAGAAAAGAGAGCACAGTGGCTTCAGTCTGCAAACTGTGAGTGAAGAGGAGAGGTGTGCCCACGCCCACATGGACCGGCTGCAAGAGGACATTTTGCCCATTCCTTCTACTTCAATTCTCCTCACATTCTTCTCTAGCCTAGGAAATTTGACTTTATCTCCTGTAGTGTTTGAACACCTGTATCCTCTCCTCAGCTGCTGGGTATCACTTCATATTCCCTGAACTGGTGGTGGGATTCTATCAGAGATATCAGAGGACATGGATTTGGCAGTGGTAAGCCCTGATAATAAAACCATTACAAGTCAGATTTTGTAAGCCATCTGCTGGATATCCAGATCCCAAGGATGGACTCAAATATACATGTGAATATTTCAGAAAACATTCCACGTAATTGTTGTATTGAATAAACTGTTGTATAGAATCATTTCTTCAAAATCCTGAGCACTGAAATAATGTGTGTAATATGTACTATTCTGATCATTAAATTCTGCTCTGTGCCAGTTCTCAACATGTAAGAACAAGTCCTGCCTTTACCGTGGGGATGTGATGAGCTAGCAGCAGAGAAGCAGTGCCTCCCTGCAGAGCAGTAAGACCAGTGGAAATAATCAGGATTTGGGTTTTGAAAAGCAGAAACTAATGTGCAAGAATGTAAAAAATATAGGCAGCTTTCTAAATTATTTTCAGGTGTTTTCTTTAACCCATCTGTAAGGATGAAAACAATGTCAGATTTTTCCAAAGTCTCTTTTTAAAATGAGTTTAGAAGGCAGTTTCCAGATAATGTACATTTTCCATGTGATGCCATGCAAAGTTCCAATCCTGCTCAAGGCAATTTAAGATTTGATGTTGATGTCATGAAGACAGTAGCAAAATATTTCAGGTGTACACTTAGACCTCAGGATCCATCCCTGTCACACAGAGCTGTGTAGAGCTGGGGAGCATGGAGGGGTTTTAGGACAACAGTCTGCTCTGCCAGGAGCATTTTCTGGCCTGATGTGGACATCCCCATGGGAATTGCTGCCTCTGAAGTTGGTAGAAGGGGTGTTAGGGTGCACAGTGTGTAAGAAGGGGGCAGCCACAGCTTTGCTGTGGAGGTTGAGGCAGGGCAGCTGTTATATTATGAGTCAATCTTATTCTTATTTCTTGTGAATCAGAATTGCAAAGGGAGTGTGTGTTGCACTGCCAGCACAATATTATGTTGTCCACCTGAATTTGTAGATTTGCACTTAAACATCCTCAGTCTGCTCTGTGATTGGTTACCCAAAACGGAGTTTTCACATTAATTCTGCAGGTGATTCATTCTGCCTTCTTGTTTCTTCCCCTAGGAGACCACTGGATTTCATTCCTTAGCTAACACTGTCAACCTTCAGAAAGCACGTCTTTGCATTATGGCCTCATATAAAGTTGGTAACTTTTGCATGTCAGGAATGAAAAGGAAATGTATAAACAACATGGGAAGCATGGTCAGGTGTCAAGGAAAGGGGAAGAAACGAGTGTGATCCAGAACTTTATATCTCTTTGTGGGTGACTTGACTGAGATACAGATGGAAGGGACAGATCTTTTTGCTATTACTCCTCAGAATCAAAGGATAAGAAATTGCTGTGCTGGAGGTCACTTCATCCTGACTGCATTCATATACAGGTGATCTGTTCCAGTGCACAGGGGCATATCCTGCAGTGTTAAAATCAATGGGAATGTTGCTGCTGAAAATAGGAAAAACATTTTATCTTTGTTTCTGATAACTGATGTCACAAGATCATGGAAGGGGTTTTACTGCTCTTAAAAACAATCTGAACTTCCTGGTGCCTAATGCCTCCATTGTAAGTGTCATTTCATCAGGATGCTGTGCCTTGCGAATCCAGGGAGAAGGTTATACTCTGGAAAGGCATATGAAGCCAGCACTTAGTGAGAAACGAGTAATTAAGACATATGGATAGAGAAGGACACATCAAAAGCAACAATTTAACAAAGTAGGTGTCTGACAACAAGAAACAGGAACTGGGAAGGTGAGGTTTCAGGTGAACTCATAGAACAGAACAGTCATGGTTATACTGGAGCCTCAACTTGTTGCACTCTCAGCTGCTCTTTCCTCCCTGGAGTCTTTCCAGCCCAGATGGTGCAGCTGAGGCTGCATGGCCTGAGGCAGAGTGTTGGAGCAACAGCATGTTGTTAGCTGGCTTAGCAAAAAATTGTCTTTTTTTTCTTTTTCAGCCTATGTACTGTAAGCTGAGGCCTAACTCTGGACTTACGCTTTTCCTGTGGTTGAATCCATAGAGAATTGGACTGTAATAATGGCAGCAGATTGCATATTTTCTTGTCTTTGGATGGCTTGACAGCAGGCCAGTGATAGCAGTTTTCAGAGCAATAAGGATTACCTGTCTGTTATATTTCTCTTTCCCCAGTTACTCCTCTCCCCAAGCTGAATTATGTTTTTTTAAACAGATGGGATTTCTTGTGCAAGTTAACTTGCTGGAGCCTGTGCAAACCTGGGTTCTGGTTGTTCCAGTGGAGCACTGTCAAGTCTATGCACAGCCACAGCTTTCTAGTTTCTTTACAAATATCTGATTCCAAGCAGGCTGAATCTGTATCTCCTGGAGGTTGGTATTCCTCCTGTAATATTTCTGTGCACCCTCATCTCATGGATCATTCAGAAGACCAACAGTAGCAGCTCATTCATTAGGTGGTGGTTGCAAATTCCTGAAGTGGGGAAAGGTGTTCTGAAAATTTATCCAAAACCTGGACTTTTCTCTGTTTTTTTTTTTTTTTTTCATGCTTCTTTTATATTTATATATTGCTATGAAATATTCTCATCTTCTCTTAAAGTTGTTTTCAGTTTAGCTCTCAGTAGAGGAGCTAATTTTAGATATGTCGTTTTGCTTTTTTCCCCTCATAAGAGCCTGCTAAATAGAAAGCACTTTTCTACAGGAAAATGTTCTGGTTTGGATTCCACCTTTTTTTCTTCTTTAGCAGTGTTAAAAAGATGTTACTGAATTTGAACAGTAGCAAACCTCAGCCCCAAACAGAGAAATATGCAGTCTTTCTCAAGACATGTTGAGACATCCCCCTGCAGCTGTAATGGGTTATCAGCACATCTCCACCCTTTTACCAGATGCAGTCTCTTAGAGGCAACTTTGTCTTCCGTTGTATATCATCTGATCTCAGCTAGTGTCAAAAGACCCAGGAGCTCTCTGCCTGTCTGCTGGGAACATTGATCCACTCACCACAACTATTTACAAGATGTGAAGTCTTTCCTTCTTTCCTTCCCTTGCACTCTCTTTCTCTCTGTAAAAACAAAAAAAGCTGTCAGTATTTCAGAAAGTGTGAGCAGCAGATCGTTGTGTACTTTAATCCATAAATAAACATTTCTTCTTTTGAACTTCATTAAAATTGGATGTGTTTTCACTGTAAAACACTTCAGCATCCCTATCATTTAGACATATTTGGTGATGAATATTGCAATTAAGTTTTATCTGTAGGAATAATTGTTGTCTAGAAATACTCAATTTATGCCAAAAAAGTAAATAAGAATCAGACTGCAAGGCATACTGCTTATAATAGTAATTTTAGATGTTAAGCTATGCTCCTGCTCTTTTAACAGGTTGGGCCAAGTGCATCTTTGTTTTTATTTCCAAGCTTGCGGGGAAGTTGTGGAGATGTGAGATGTGAGTTTGGTTTGGCTTCTGCACAATTATATCTGACTTTCTTCTGGTAAGACTTGTTGATGTATCACATTCAAATCTCCAGCTTTGCCTTCTCTGCATTTGACCTGAAGAAAGGAATTCCTGCTTTAAAATGCTCATCAATCAGTGCTGTGTAGTTAAGCTGATAACAAAGCTAAGGCTAAGCCAGTGTTAATTTAGCCAACTGTTACATTACTGACAATATTTGTCAGCAAATGATTTTAATTAGACCAGCATAATGAGGTAAGTAGGCTAAAACTAAGCAAATTACGAAAACTAAAGAGGGATTCTGATGACAAGTTCTGATGAGAGTAAGAATGGATTTTTTTTTTTTTTTGCCACCAAGGTCTGAGTAGCATGTGGGAATGGAGAGGCAGCACAAATCACATGAGAAATCAGTTAAAAATGATGCTGGTGTGCTGGAATGCTGAGCTGGTGTCAGGGAGGCTTGCAGAGTTTGAGCAAGTGCTGTGTAAACTTCCTGAGCAGCCCTGCATGCCCGTGACACTCTCCCTGGTTTGTGTGCAGGAAGGGAACGGGGCAGGGAAGGCTCCTGGAAGGCTGAAGTGAATCAGGCACTTGTGCTGTGAGATAAAGCAGGGGAAGGCAGGTGGAATAGGACCTTCTGAAGTTTGTGGCTGTAATTAGGACAGGTAGGGAAAAAAGGAAGAGTAAGCAGGGAAAAATGCAGTATTTGAGAATGAAGAATAGAGGGTCAAAAAGAAAAACATTGTTTGATGTTTGAATAAGGAAATGTTTGGGGTGAATAACCTGCTGCTCTATTTGTTTCTTTCTCTCCCTACATAGTTTTTTTTTTGTTCTGATTTCTGGTGGAGAGTTCTGGCCCCTGTGTTATTTCCCCCTGCCTGCCCGTGGTCTTCCTGAGACCTGCTGGCAGAGGGAGGTTTTCACAGTCTGAAGTGTTGATTCTGGGAAGTGTGAAGGAAACAGAACCGTGCTGGATGATGTGACTCACCTTGGAGAAGTTGATGTTTTCTGGCTGAGGGAAAGTGGGAAGTTTCAGCTTTGCTAGTCCAGATGTTTTAATGGATATTGCTGCAGTAGGAGAAAGCCTGGTCTGCCTGTTTGACTCAGTCCTGCACAGGAGAACAACAAGTTACATACTAACATAAATGTTTAATGATTTATGATAAAAAAAAAATTAGATGGCAAGCAAAATACCAGGTTAATTGACTATGGAGTCCTAAGTTCCCCAAAATGTAGCATTCCAGCCAAATATGGCTGAAATATCAGCTGTCATATGATGAACATTTTAAAGAAGAATCTATTATACACCTAGGGGTTCATTCGCTTCAGTAATGAGGACAGTTACCTCTGGGGAAAGGAAGCTATATTATACTTGCCACTTAACCAGGGGCTGGTTTGACAGGCATCAGCTCAGAATATATGTGTATATATAGGGAATCACAACAGCTTGTCTCAAGCTTACTGAGCAGGAAATGTTGTGCTGTACAATACTCTGGGTTTCTATCTATGGATTTGTGGATGGCACTGAGTGGGATTCAGACTATTTTTATTCCTGAGACTGATTGTTGAGTTGGAATCCATCACCTGCTAAATATTAAATCAGCAGGTTTTTTAAAGAGTAACACTGTCTCTGCTGACTTGAATATCCTTATGTGGCCCAGAGGAAAAGAGAAATAAAGACAAGATAAGAAAACTATCGTCTTTGGCATTCTTCTTAATATTAATGATTTCTCTAGTTTTCAAACTGTTGAAGGCAAAAAGTGAGATAGTAAAACTTTCACATGGGTAAGAAATGACCCAGGTGAAAAAAACCCCATACATTATAAAAACCACAGTGAAAATTCTGGAGTTGAATTATTTGTTGGAAGAGATGGGGAAAATGCCTCAACAGATTATTTTTTAAACAAGTTTTGTTTAATTGTTTCCAAACAAACATGGCTGGGCATTATTAGGAATGTGTTAGTTCCAAATTACTAGATCAATTTAATGTTCAATTTATGTCAGATTTTACTCTGAGTCTGGTTTCTGAAACCTGGTGTTTGCAAATGCTGAAGTTTTGAACTAACTACCCAACTTACATGCTACTGTTCATCTTAGCACGCTGACTGAAATTTTAAATAGTTCCTTCATGTTTTCCTTTTTAAAGTTGTACTTCATAGACAAAATCCAAAGACACCTGTGAGGTATCTGAATGAATAGTTCTAGTACACCCATAGTTGCCTATATGAACATTCATCATGCACCACTGCATGAATAAAAGCTTATCTCTGTCACACTTAAAGGATGCTTTAAGACTTTTAAGGATTCTTTAGGATTTAAAAAAATTCCTTTTCTGATAATGAGCAGGTAGGTGAAATAACAAAGCCATGACAAATGATGGCATGCTTTTTTTGGTTTTATATTTTCTAAAACAATCACATTTCTGTTCCAGATATCAAAATGAACAATTGCTACACCAATCTTATAAACTCAGTGAAGATTCTTAAAAAGATTCTTAACAGTTTGGTGACTGCTCAGTTAATGGACGCTCACTTCTTATGTCACTTTTTTAGGACCTCAGATGACATGTCAAAATGTCCTGGATGGCCTGATATTTAAACAGCACATCCTCTCCAATCCTATGCTAGAATTCCAGTTCTTTGTTTGCTTTCAAGTAAATCTTCTTGTTTAGCAAGATGAATGATCTAGGTTTCAGAACACAAGTGATTTATTCTGATGCTGTTTGTTAGATAAACTGACCCTTCAATGCAAAACCAGGACAAAATGAAAGTTCTCATTAAGTGGATGCCTTTGCATATTTCACACACATTTTTTAAGATCATGTTACATATTCATCAGTTTTAGTCACAGAGTTGTTGCCATGAGTGCTCTGTGAATATGTGGATGTCTGAGCAACATTGTAGGAGTGGGGGAGGTAAGGAAAAAAGGAAAAAATTTGATATGAAAATTGGGAGGGAATAAGTGAGATGAGGAGTTGGGAGGGACTCTGAGCTATATTGTTCCCATTCTATACATCTGAATCTTTAGAGGTTGTAGGGTTTCCTTTCCTAGTATAACTTGATGTTCACTGGGAGTTTAGGTCAAATTTTTATGTTGTTTAAAACCCAACAGTTATTATTTTCATCTTGAGATAAGTGTTGAATATTCTTAAATTGTCCAATGCCCACAAACTTCTTTGTCATCCTGTCAGCACATTAATTGTCTACATTGGCTTAATTGTGTAAGACCACAACTAAACACTTGATCAAGACTTGGAAAGTTTGGGAAAAATGAATGGGTTTGTTGGGTTTTCTTTTTGCTTTCAATAGTATATGGGCTGTATTTTTTTCAGATTGTGAACAAAATAGACTAATACTTCCAACACCATGTAGCTTAGAAATTTTTCCAGTGATAATAGTGAATTGTGAGAAAGAGTTTGGAGTGACAGTCAAATATCTGCACAAAGGAAATAATTTCATCCCAGAAAGCTGTAAAAAATTTTTGCAGTCATGCTTCATTTTAAACAAAGTCTAAATCAACTGGAGCTGGAAGTTGGTGCTAACACTCAAAATCCTGGCCCAAAGAACTCTCCCTTAAATTTCTTCCCATCCCCACTAATTCCTATTCTTTCAGATTTGTTAGGCATTGTCATGTCTTACAATTGGTTTTCTATGGAGAAGTAAGGGAATCAATTACTTTGCATAGAGCAGTCAGACACAAGTTTTACAATTTGTGCTGTTTGCAGGTATGGTTTAGAAATGTCACAGCTGCCACAGTGGCCAAGACAGAATGTAGAACTCATCCCAAGGGCATAGTTCCAGCCCCACTGTTGGTTACACCATTCCAGCAGCTCCTGTCTGCGCACTTTGTATGGGCAGACCACTTTCAGTGAGTGCTTTGGGTTTATGGTGCAATGGTAAGAATGGGTGACCTTTAATCATCCAATCTCCAGGAGATTGTGTGGCCAAAGCAAGCCCGTGGCTAGAACATGCTGCTGCAAGCCATGATGAGGATTTCTTCAAACCATGGGTGATTTGGGGAAGTGAACTGTCAATGTGGCAGTCTGCTCTTTAGTAAGCTGTGGAGGTCAAAAGAAAGGTGCATGGGCATAAACTCATATGGTTATTTCCCCCCAAAGGCCTCAGCATAAACCTGGCACTGCCAGGGCCTTGTTTGGGAGTGATCTGACTGACACGCTCTCTGCCTGAGATTTGTAGAGGGCTTATTTAATTGCTACATGTACCTATCCCCTGTTTTGCTCTTAACTCTCTGCTCATTTTTCTTTCCAAGTCACTGTTATAATCAGTGATTTTAGCCAGAAGCAGCTAAAATGACAGAAATCTGTTAAAGGGGTTCATGGTTGGAAGTAGAGCACTACATGCTGAGTGTTGCCTGCCAGCCTTTTACTTGGATTTTAAGTGAGGGGGAAGGAAAGTAAGAGTTCTCTTCTTCATTTTTTAATTAATGCAGACACCATTTTCATTCTGAAGTGTCACACACTGAAAATCAAAGGAGCCTTGTATAAATAATAAGGAAAAAAAAAGGTTCTCCCGATTAGTAATGGAAAACATTTTCAAACAAGAGCTACAGAATTACGATAGGGCTGGCACTTCCTCAAGGTGAAAGTCTCTCAAAATCATAACATAAATTATTGATTTGTCCAAGTCTCTTCTCCATAGGAGATTTACAATCTCATTTTCACAGTTGTCTTAAGAAGGGAAGAGAAAGAGATTCCTATCTAGGTCAGAATGAAAGCATCCTCTTTTTACAAAATAATAATAACCCCCTATTTTAGATAAAGTGAATAGCTATGCTAAGAAATTTTAGGGCTTTCTGTTCATGTCAGGAAAAACTCCATTTAAGAAAATATATTTACAGCTGTGCAAGTGTAATCAGTCACACGATATGGCAACTCAGATACAAGGAAGGGTTGTTGTAAATTGTAAGATATGTAAGAAAGTCTGGCCTTCTTTGAATTTGGCTGATAACAACTGTTTTCATGAAAAGAGAACTCCTCAAATAAAGAGCAAAAGGTGGGAAGTATGAAGACACTGGCAAATTAGAAGGGAGCAAGATATGAATCAGTTCCATTTTTTGCTGAAACCTTAGTTCAAATACAGCAGTATGGGCCTAGCAAATAAAGATCAGGAAAATGAAATGAAAGGCTAAGGTAATGTGGTATATAAGTGAAGGTAAGCCTTTCTTGATGAGCTGACTGGCAGCAACTCTCCAGGTCTATGAAGAAAGGATTTGACTGCTGAGGAACCAAAGAAAGTAAAATCCAAGAAGAAAGTAGTCATCCCTTAATCACCCCAGGCAGGAGAAGGGGGTACCATAGCACACAGAATACAGAAGGTGATGAGCAGAAATGCACTGAGAAAGCAGGAGGGGTTTTTTTGTCAATGGCTCACCTTCTGTGGAGAGAAGCAACAGACTTCAGATATTTCAATCTCATTATAAGCATGATGGAGAGGGTTAAAATTTATTCTTAAAACCAAGAGAGTACTGGTGGAGCAAAATACTCCAAAGATTAGTGTTGCATGTCAAAGGAAAAGAAGTCTTCAAATGACAGACAGTTTGCAGCTAGTGATCCTAAGGGTTTGCTGATCAGGGTCTTAAAAGAAAAAAAAAACCATAACAAAGAATTTAATTCTTATCTACTGTGGTAGCCAAAAAACAACCAAAGTATAGCCTCTAAAGACTATTTTTAATAAAGAAAATGGCATTGTGTTATCCTGGAAGACTTTAGTGTGAGCTGTGTATTAAAAATAGCATACTAGAAAAGTGAATCCTACTTTGGTTTTAGGTGGGTCATTTGGTCCCTGCTCCTGGTACTGTCTTACTGTTTAAGAATTCCTCTTGAGATGGTTCCTTTTCTGGATGAAGAATTCAAAGCAGTTGTAGGTGCAATAGGTAGAATTAGTAAATTTTTTCTACCTATTGTGCTAAAGCTTTGTCTGCCACATACAACTATCAAGAGAACAAATATATTGCAGAGGGCAGTATTAGATTGTCATATACAACTGTTGTCAGGCATCTGAAATAGCCTCAATTTTTTTTTGTCAGTCTTTGAAGAAGAATAATGGCCCCTAAATATGGATATTTGAATAGGTATTTGCAGATTTGTCTTTAATACTTGGGTTTTCCAAGATTTCTGGTTTCAAGATGGGCACTGTTTGGTTAAACAATTGCAGATATATTTGTAGTATGCAATGTAGGCTGAGGCTGAAAATGGAGTTCTGGATTGTTTGGGCTGCAAGTGAAGCTTCACCAGGATTATTGCTGGGGATGTAAAAGAATGTTCACATTGTGCTTCAGATTTGTCTCAAAAGAGCATCCCCTTGCAAATGACTAAGAAAAATAGCCTTTGTCAGTAAAATAAACAGATTTCCTTCAGGTATAGTGGAAAGGAGTCCAATTGATAAGGAAGGGGGAATTGTTTTTACCAGATAATTTTTTCTGACCTCGACTAGACATTGTCCCTTCCCAGACACTAAATTTTTCCTCTGGAAGAAAAATGTTCTTCTTCATGATTGGAAGGTTTTGTATGTACCAAGTGGCAGTTTTGCCAGAGGGCTGGCAATTGTCATATAAAAAGTAGTTCAAACTAGGAATCCCCTGGGCTGGTGGGTTTGTCTAGTGCAGAGCTCTTTCCTTTCTTCTCATTCTAAGGGTACCCCTAGGGCTCTTGCCTGGCTTGATTCTGGTCTTGTTTATGTTGGTGTAAATCAGGAATAACTCAGCTCCTGTAACCACAGTTCAGATAAATGA